GTAATTGGATCTCTGTGAAATTGTACTGCAAGGTACCATACCACAAACTGAAGGCTGGGATTGAGTTTGAGGGGGGGGGGGGGGGGGGCGTGATATGTGAAAATTTTCCACTTAAAGTTGGTTAATTATTTCTGATTTAGATATAAAAGCAAATAATAATGATGTGGTTTGATTTTATCAAAAACTTAAATTGAAGTTATGTATATTGTAAATTTAGGTTACATTGGAATTTAAGAATTGGCTTTGGGGTAGGGTTATGGCTCAAACCTTTAAATAATAAGGGAAAAAAAGGTGAAAAAACAAGGGTTTCCAGGTTAATAGACAAATAAGTACAAAACATTATTTAAAAGCAGTGTAAGGTTGGTAATTCAAACTCATTTAAATATCTCACTTACACTGCTTTTAAATTATGTAAATTGTAAATTTGCCAATAACTTTATTGTTAATAAATGCATTGGAAATTTGCCAACAATTTTAGTATAATAAACTTCATTGGAAATTTGCCAATATAAAATTTTGCTGATGAAGGTTTTTTGTTTACCTTTAGCCTTGACTATGAAGTCATTTTCTATTTTTATAGCCTTATGATGTAGTTGAATTATTTAATACTTTTATGATGTGTTCAAATGGGGTTTTATGGTTGCAAATTTATTATTTTAGTTTAATAAACTCCATTTAAAATTTGGTAATAAAAAAAATTTTTGTTTATTTTTAGCTATGATTATGATGTCATTTTCTATTTTACTTTTATGGTTGCAAAGAAATTTTTATTTTTAGATATTACTGTTAAATGATGCTGATTAAGGTTTTTGCTATGTTTAGCCATGACTATGATGTCATTTTCTATTTTAATATCTGTCATGATGTATTTAAATGGGCTTTTATGGTTACAAAGGAATTTTATTTTTAGATATTACTGTAAAATGTTGCTGATTAAGGATTTTGTTTATTTTTAGCCATGACTATGATGTCATTTTCTATTTTAATACCTTTATTATGTAATTTCCATTTTTAGATATTACTGTTAAATGATGCTGATTGAGGGTTTGAATGCTGGGATTGATTTTGGGGGTAATTGCCTCCAAATTTTAGGAATTAGGGGGCAAAAAACAAGCATTTTTCTAGTTTCATGACAATAACTTGTGTGTAAGTGTATGGATATTTATGAAATTGTACTACAAGGTTCCATATCACAAAAGGAAAGCTGGAATTGAGTTTGGGGGTACTTGCCCAAAACGTTTAGGAATAAGGGGCCAAAAATAAGCATTTTTCTAGTTTCCAGATAATAACTTGTGTTCAAGTGTATGGATCTCTCTGAAATTGTACTGCAAGGTACCATACCACAAAGGGAAGGCTGGGATTGTTTTTGGGGGTAATTGTCTCAAAATGTTAGGAATAAGGGGCCATAAAGGGGCAAAAAAACAAGCATTTTTCTAGTTTCATGACAATAACTTGTGTGTAAGTGTATGGATCTTTATGACATTGTACTGCAAGGTTCCATATCACAAAGGGAAAGCTTGGTTTGAGTTTGGGGGTAATTGCCCTAAACTTTTAGGAATTTGGGGCCAAAAAGGTGCAAAAAACCCAAGCATTTTTCTAGTTTCCAGACAATAATTTGTGTTCAAGTGTATGGATCTCTCTGAAATTGTACTGCAAGGTACCATACCACAAAGGGAAGGCTGGGATTGAGTTTGGGGGTGATGAATCATAAGGGGGTTTCAAAAAATTTTGGGGGGGGATTTTTTTTTCCTTTTTTTTCTTTAAAATTTTCCATTTTAAATTGGTTATTTCTGATTTATATATAAAAGCAAATAATAATGATATGGTTTGAATAGGTAAATTAAAAAATTTTTAAGTTCTTAGACTACTTTCATTCTGTGTGAGAAACCTATGCTGTGTCAAATATTTAATTACAATCCAAATTCAGTGCTGTATCAAGCTTGAATGTTGTGTCCATACTTGCCCCAACTGTTCAGGGTTCGACCTCTGCGGTCGTATCAAGCTGCGCCCCAGCGGAGCATTTTATTGTATCAATGGAACTAAAACTGATTAACCTGCCCGTAACATCTCTGCAGGTATACCATTTAAACCAATATTATACAGTTTTTGTATCAATGGAACTAAAACTGATTAACCTGCCCGTAACATCTCTGCAGGTATACCATTTAAACCAATATTATACAGTTTTTGTATCAATGGAACTAAAACTGATTAACCTGCCCGTAACATCTCTGCAGGAATACCATTTAAACCAATATTATACAGTTTTTGTATCAATGGAACTAAAACTGATAAACCTGCCCGTAACATCTCTGCAGGAATACCATTTGAACCTGATGCTTTTCCAGTTTTAAGTTTGCTCACAAAATTTGCAATTTCTTTATTTGAGATTCTAAAATCTAATTCACAAAATTGTTTTACTTTCTCCAATTTTTCTATCGCAGACCTTATTTCATGTATTCTATTACTATGGGAATCTGATGACTTGTTAAGCTCTGAAAAATATTCACTCCTCTGGCTTGGCTGAATCTAGAGTACAGTTAACTCTCGTTGTCTCGAACTCGGTTGACTCGAAATTTCGGATGAGTCGAAGTTTTCTCGTGGTCCCGAACTTTGTTCCATATAAATATATGTATTTCGACTCCTGATGAGTCGAAATTGGATGAGTCGAAACTTCGGTTGAGTCGAACTAAATTTACGGCCCCAAGGTTAACAAAAGCATTCAAAATTCATTATTTATCTCGAACTAATACACATATGTCAAAATATGACCTCCTGGATTTAAATGGATTGAAGAGTTAATCTGACAATACACGTGTAATTAAATTTCCGGTCACTGACCAAGGTATTGATTTATGACATTCTATTTCCACGAGTGTTTACCTAAGATTATCTTTTATCACCATGATAAATAATTAGTGATACATTGTTAAAGTTTATGAAAAATTATTTAAAATGTTTACCAAAAAAATTAATTAAATTAATCGTGATTTACACTGATGAGCTTGGATGTGTATAAAGTGGGTATTAAGACGTCCGTTGGTGATCACATAAAAACTACTCAATCGGCGTCTTTTATCCTTTTGTATTTTTTCTTTAAAAGAAAAATTGAGATAAAAGAAAATAAAAATAAATCTAAATTTCTGAAATCTCTTGTATCCGAGAATAAACAATTTTGTCAGATTTAAATGACTTTAATAACGCTAAGATCGATTGGAAATTACCATTTCGGATAAAAGCCAAAGGAAAAAATTGTAACTGTTCAAAGAAATAATTAAATAAGTGAAAACAATGTTATAATAATGAAAGACCATAACATACAAATCCATCGATATGAGACCAGAATATCGATCCCCTTCCCATATCCATCCGGAATTTATTTAGGCTTTACCAAGGTAAGCAAGAGTTGTGTCCCTTGGTCTGTCAAACTTCCGGTTTTCGTTTGAGTCGAACTACGGGTATCTCGAAATATTTCTCTGGTCCGGCTGACTTCGAGATAATGAGAGTCGACTGTATTATCATTTCTAGATTCTTTAAGTAAATTTGAGTTTCCAGTATTTCTTGGGATCATAATCCCTTAACTGATCTAGCTGATCTAAAACTTGTTGCTTAAAATGTCTTTTTTTATATCTTTGCAATTTGGTGTATTCTCTGTAACATTTAAAATATTATCCTCTTATAATCGAATCAAAAGGATATTTAGAAAGTAATGCTCCTTTATCCATCAAAACTGTTCTTTTCCTCTATAAATCTGAATCAAAATATTTACATTTTTTGGTCTTATTTTATTTTTCACACTTTTTTTTAAAATTTACAAGCTTTTGAAGCAGCTGTTTGAAGTAAATCAGCAAATTGGGTGGCTGCTTTTTCAGAATCAAAATCTTGTTTTAGAAAATCATCTATTTTAGCCATACAAAGTGGGTGAAATAGAGCATCTCTAAATTTTATTAGTGAAGATTTACTCCAAATGTATCCTCCTGTCAAATCAGTCATATTTATTTAACATTTTGACGAATTCTTAATATAAGTTGTCATAATATTAAATGAAAGTTTACAATGACAGTCAGAAAAAGTTGATATAAAAATTGAAACTTCAAAACTAAGTATATTTGACATTAAACATTCTGATACTATTACATAATAGACTACACTAGACCTGACTGGCTTATGGCAAGTGAATTTACCAAATAAGCCACCAAACATCCTTCCATTCAAGATTCTCATATTAGTTGAAATACAAAATGTTCCTAGTTGTTTACCTCTGGTATCTATTTTCTTATCATAACTATTTCTAATATCTTGTACAATGTCATATTTATAAGTATTACATAATGGTGTGTGACTACTAGTATATATAGATAACACATAGCTGAGAGGGTGATAGAGCAGATTGTTACCCAGAGAAAACATTGTCAACTGAGGTGAAGCCAAATTTTGACTTGGATGGAGAGTTGTCATATTGGCACTCATACCACATCTTCTTATATCTATAGAAAAAACATACTTTAAGAAATGATGCATTTTCTCAATTATGAATATGGTTGATAACACTACTGTTTTGGAACTTGGCATTAACTGCTTGTGAAAAAAATATAAATAAATAAAAATATAAATTATCTGAAAATGGACAGAACATTACAAAACATTAGTAAAATATTATTTGTCGTCCCTTATTTGGGTATTAAGATTTATGACCCAAGTCACCGTCACACAACTACCCAGGTAGTGTGGGTTGTATCACCAGCATGGTCGAACCGACGACTTGAAATTTGTATTCCCAGCTTCTCCATAAAGAATAATGTGTCTGACGTGTGTATTTCTTGATCTTATACATGTTATATGAATTCCAAACATTATGTGCAAATTATGGGCCAAGTCAAAATTTTTCTTAAAATCATAATTTTCATTGGCTAAAATGGGCCTTTAAGATAGATGTATTAAACTATATGACAAGTTTTCACATGGGGCATGATATTTTATAGCATATTTTTCTTTTCTAGACTGCCATGTCAAAGATATCCCCAGAAGTAACTCCTGACACCCAATTACATGATTCTGCAGCACCAGTAGTTGAGGGTAATCATCTAATGTTAATTATTCAGATACCTGCTGAAATGATTTATAATTACTTGTTTCTTATTTATGGAAACCTTGATATCTGCTTATAATGTTATAATGAAAACAAACGAATTGATGGGAAAAGTGAAGTAGGTGATTGATGAAGATTGATTGATTACAGATCACATTAACTTTAAAACCAATCTCATCCAATTTATACTTTTCTCAACCTCTTGAATATATTTTTGATAATCATTCTTGCTTGTTTCTCTCACAAGACATGTCACGTCAATATCATTCTTACTTGTTCCTCACACAAGGCATGTCACGTCAATATCATTCCTACTTGTTCCTTTCACAAGGCATGTTACATCAATATCATTCCCCTACTGAAAATGTAAAGTGGGATTTCACTGAAAATACCAGTGGAGTTCCATCAGAGTTCCATTGGAATACCACTGTATTACCACTGGGAAATTTGGTCGGGATTTTCATTGGACATTCATTGTTTTCCATTGGGATATCAGTGGAATATCCAGTGGGATTCCGGTGAATACTCGAGTGGAATACAGTGGAAATTCCATTGGAATACCAGTGAAAACTTCGTTGGAATACCATTGTTTTCCCACTGGACATTTATTGTTTTCAACTGGGATACCAGTGGTAATTCGATTGGAAATTGTAACAATCAACCAAAGAAAACCAGTGATATTTCAATGGAAATTGACAATTCCACTGAAATGTTAGATATCATTTTGCATGCACTGCTTATTTTTGAATGAATTAATAAGAAAACTTGAAATAAGACAATAACCATTTTAATGCAAGTCAACAATTAAAGAAATTACAACAGTTTATACATCATCCACATTTAAGACCTTTTAAACGAAAAGATCAACCTCTTTAAAATATTAATGTTGATAAATTATCATTTTTTAGTCAAAGTTGTATTTACTTAATTGTACATGTAAAACATTTTTCTGGTTAAATCATAAGTCCATGGTAACTTTTGGTCCTCTTGAAATCTTTCACAAATGGTTTTAATTTTCAATTTTACAAATTTGTTTATTGTGCATTAAACAAACAAAAATGTCCAGTTTACATGCATACGAAATACTTTGTCAGTTTGGTCAGTTTTCTTCATCATCCATTGATATTATTCATGAATTAAGTCCAAAGTTTCTGCATTCCAATCCTGTTCCATTAAGTCTTCATTGATTAATCTGAAAGAAAAAAAATCATACATCATAACATGCATAGAATTTTGAATTAAAATAACATTACAATACCATGCTCCAGTCTGCAATTATTCAAAAATATATGTTACTGGCATATTTTATTTGTGTTTGTGTGTAATTTATTCACAACATTTTTACACTAAGAGCAATTTAGACACATGTATGTCTATTGTTGAAGACTATGTGTTCTCTAGATATCTTTGGCTATAGTTGTTGGGTTGCTGTCTCTTAGACTTATAACACACATCTCTTTTTATCAAAATAGACTTTTATTGTTCATGGATCAGGTGTCTCTCAAAGCCAAATAAAATAGTATGTGTGGTTCCAGTTACATTTAAAACAAAATTAGGGTAGGTAGGTAAGAATTTTTTTTATTTTATGGTTTTTTTTTTACATTGAGTCTATCATGTCTATGGGAGCAACATTCTGACTGAAACAGTACTTACTGAAAAATGACAAAAAAATCTTTAGGGTAGGCTATTGTTAAGACTGAAAAAAAAGGTAGGTACGGTAATTGGAACCACGCATATATTTTTATTTAGCCTCATATTATCTTTCCCTTTGTGTTGTGTTTGTTGTTGGTTTACTATCTGGTTGAAGCATACCAGACACCTCATTTTGTTCACATAATAGCCATGATTAACCATTGTGCATGATGATCAGATCAATGTTTTTGAGATGTGTTTACAGCTTATAGATGTGAATGATTAACATGATTAATGTATTTTTATTTCAAGTGTGGGAAGGATGAAAAAATAATTCAATAAGTACCTTTCAATAATCTTATACTCAAATTTCTTTTCTGCTGCTGGTTCGTTTGTTTTCATCGTGTTTTCATACTATTGAGTGGATATTGATCGATGCACAGTCATCATTTTTGCAGCTTTGTACCTTCACCATGATCAATCCCTTTTAATATATGGACAACCTAAAAAAAATGTAAAAACATTTTATTAATAATTTTTAATTCTGGTCATGACCTGTATGCATCATATATTACTGATATTTATCATACAATGTAGATATATGATTAAGAAGCTTCTTTCAGTTAAGTATAAAGACTCTAAAACACAATATTAACCTTTAGGGATTTTTTGTGTTGCATGTCCATCTAAATCAGAACATGACAAAATTAAGTTGAATGTGCCTGACATTGTGTAGTAAACTGTAAACATCTTTCCTTGATTGTGAAGGCACACAATGTAATTCAATATTGAATAATAAAATTATTATTACATTCCCACCTCCCCCTTTTCAGAACACCAAATGGTCATCCTCAAAGTGTGAACTAACAGAGCCCATGAATGAAACTAAATGGGGTGTATATCTTTTTTTTTAATTTTCATTAAAAATATTCATGATGTAAAAATCAAATGTAAAATCTCTTAAAAATTACCTGTATCTGCTGTACGTCTGCCCTTCAAAGGCTACATCAGCACATCGTCTCATCGTAAATTCTTGGTTCAACAGCTAATGTCATACCTAAATGTTCTGCCTTTAATGTCTATTTCTTTATATATCGAAGGTTGTTGAGTATTAATTATTAGTAACATGATTAATGTAACCACAGCTGGACAATGCTGGACAGGATACATACTCGTACAATATTTTTAGTTTCAAATTTGAACACATTCCGTGTATTATTGATAACGACTATCTGATTGGCCGATCGGAAATCCCGGAAATAGAGTTATTCAATCAAATCAGCAGTTATATATATAGTCTGGTAGAAAAAAAATGGCAGCCTCCATGAATGTAAACATGTGTGTTGAAAAACAACATTATAGACTACAGTTTCACGAATTTTCTGCTCAAATTATGCCAAAACACTGACATTTAGCGTACAATTGATTGGAGCGGATTATATGTGAAATGTTTCTATAGATTAACTTATATGACCCGAGTTCCAGTGCCGAGTTCAGGACATGAAAATGGTGAAAAATTCATCACACCGACAAAGTTAAGATACCGAAACAGTTTATAGAACAATGTGGAAAATGAAAGCCGTTCACTTTACTTTTCTCAAAAGAACAGTAGACCAGTAACAGTTAATGAACATGATGAAGTCAAAGGAGAAATAATTATATTATTGTATACATGTAGACTGTAGTGCAGGGCAGTTGCCAGTACGGTCACTTGAAGAAAAAAACGGAGTTATCCTAACAATTCGTACAGTCTGAAGATAATTTCTGCAACAGATCTGTTTAAAACGGCCCTTTTAAGAGCCATGCACATTTTTCAAAAAGAATCTTAATTGTTTTTGTTCGTTAAATCAAACAGAATCTTATTCTCAACCCAATTTGATATAAAATATTCATTTCTTTATTTATATTATCTGATTATTGCACATTTAATTTTATTTCTTAATAGTTAAAATGTATCCTTTCAATGTGTCATACTCATAGGCTATATGGTGATGCATTATATTCACCCTACATCTGAGGAGCTACAATTATACTTATTTTATATATCATTTGTTACTAGGCAAGTGATTTCATATTACATTAAACCATGTAACATTTTTTAAACAAATGTTTCATATACATGTATATATGTAGGTTTATGAAATATTCATTACATCCCATATATTATCATGATTATAATATTTAATTTCTTATCAGGCCAGCAAATTATATGTTACAAATTAAATCCTTTATATAATAATCATGCACTTAATTATTTGAAAAATTTAAATTAGAAGTATATATTCCTTTTAATTTCTAAGTCCAAAATTCCATTGGAATATTTGCATTAAATCAAAACTCCACTGAAATATAAACAAAAATATTCCACTGGAAATTAATTGGAAAATCTTTGGAAGTTTCATTGGAAATTTCACTGATTTTCCATTGGAATTACAGTGTGAAAAATATTCCAGATGTTTTGAATGAAATTCTAATGGGATTCCATCGGAATATTTTTATACGACCGCAAAAATTAAAAATTTTTTGGTCGTATATTGGTATGACGTTGGCGTCGTCGTCGTCGTCGTCTGGCGTCGTCCGGCGTCGTCCGAAGACACATTGGTTTTCGCACTCTAACTTTAGTTTAAGTGAAAAGATCTCCATGAAATTTTACCATAAGGTTCAATACCACAAAAGGAAGGTTGGGATTGATTTTGGGGGTTATGGTACCAACATTTAAGGAATTAGGGGCCAAAAAGGGGCCAAAAATAAGCATTTTTGTAACTTCCAGACAATAACTTGTGTGTAAGAGTATGGATCTCTCTGACATTGTACCACAAGGTTCCATATCACAAAGGGAAGGCTGTAATTGATTTTGGGGGTAATTGCCTCAAAATTTTAGGAATTAGGAGCCAAAAAAAGGGGCAAAAAACAAGCATTTTTCTAGTTTCATGACAATAACTTGTGTGTAAGTGTTTGGATATTTCTGAAATTGTACTACAAGGTTCCATATCACAAAGGGAAAGCTGGAATTGAGTTTGGGGGTAATTGCCCGAAACGTTTAGGGATTGGGGGCCAAAAAGGGGCCAAAAATAAGCATTTTTCTAGTTTCCAGACGATAACTTGTGTTCAAGTGTATGGATCTCTCTGAAATTGTACTGCAAGGTACCATACCACAATGGGAAGGCTGGGATAGAGTTTGGGGGTGATGAATCATAAGGGGGTTCAAAAAATTTGGGGGGGGGGATTTTTTTTTTTCTTTTTTTTTTTCTTTTAAAATTTTCCATTTTAAGTTGGTTATTTCTGATTTATATTTAAAAGCAAATAATAATGATATGGTAGGAGATACACACCAAACAGGATGTGTAAATTATTA